CCACACGCCCATGCCTTAGGGGATGTTCAGTGAGCACCCAGTACCACACAGATAAGACAGTTTCAGGATGTATACGGAATATAAAAGATACAGAACAAAGAAATGGTTTCAGATATTCCGGGGCATTTTTGCTGATACTTTCAGGTGAGGTTGTCTCTCATAAGTTTTTGGTGATGGTCTCACAACGCTACAGGAGTCAGAGGAACATGGCAGTCTTCCATTACATATGAATTCAGCCAACATCAGTTTCCTATTAAAACCAGGCAAAGACCCTGTACTACCTACAAGTTATCATCCCATTTTCCTTATCAATGTTGATATTAAAATAATTTGTAAAGCCTTCTCTAAAAAACTAGAGAAGATAATTTCTTTCGTAATTCATCCTGACCAAACCGGTTTCATAAAAGGAAGGCACTCGACTACAAATTCACGTAGGTTATATAATTTAATAGATTATTCGTACAGTTAAAAAACTGAAATTTCTATTTTGTCTTTAGATGCAGAAAAAGCATTTGATAAGAGTAAATTGGACATTTTTATTTGCAACCCTGCATAAATTTGGTTTTGGAATCTATTTTATTAATTGGTTAAAATATGATATAGTTCACCAACAGTGCGTAGGTATCAGGACAAATAATCAAATATCTTCTAGCCTTTGTCTACAGAGGGGCACCTGGCAGGGATGCCCACTGTCCCCTTCACTGTTTGCTATTTTTAATCAAACCTCTAGTAGCTGCAATCAGACAAACTGCAGATATTAAAGGCATACAATGTAAGAACATAGAACATAAAAGTAGTCTTTATGCTGGTGATGTTTGACTTTTCCTTAAGCACTTGGAAAACTCAAAATCTAAGGTTATTGAATTAATAAACTCTTTTTCAAAAGTTTCTGACTGTCATGATCTGTGTTTATTTTCCTTAGTTTTCTAGTGTTTTCAGTGTTCCCCTGTGTTTCTCAGCCCAGCTGCCCCACATTTCCTTGATCGTCACCCTTGTGTTTCTCCCCAGGTGTGTTCTGTTTAGTAATTAGTTTTCTGTGTATTTAAGCCCTGTCCTGTCTCTGTCTCTCGTCAGATCATTGTTTTGGTTGCTGTGTTCTGTTCCCCCGTCTCTGTGATCAACATCCGTAAGTTTGAGCTGTCTCTACAGCATTTTTTGTTATTTTAAAATAAATTTTTGTTCTACTTTTTGAGCCTGCCTGCACCCTGGGTTTGTTCCTGCCAGTTTCTCACACTGACTACTCTACAATTGGTTAAAATCTACAGTTCTTCCAATTAACTGTGCTTTTGGGTATTAATATATCTTCTAGATTGTAAGGTTTAATAAAATTAAACCACATACCTCTTTTAAAGAAAATTGAAGATCTTACTAGGTGGAGATTGTTTTTTCGTTGTTTGAATATTAAAGAAAAAAATAAGCACCATACACCCAAGCCTTAGGGGTTGTTCATTGAGCAACCAGTACCACACAGATAAGACAGTTTCAGGGCGTATACAGGATATAAATGTTACAGAAAAAAGAAACAGTTTCAGACCATCCGGGGCATTTTTGCTGATACTTTCAGGTGAGGTTTTCTCTAACAACTGTTTGGTGATTGTCTCACAAGATGTTTAACATGTAAACTCATGAGTATATTTCTCTCTGCTTTTGGTAAAATAAATCTTTAAATTTAGGTATTGTCTCCTATTCGGTCCTTTCTACAAACCAACCCAGGAAGGTGAGGGACAGCTGACCAGGTAAAAATCTTCACCTCAACACTAGTCATAACAGAATAAAAAGCAGGTTGTATTTTATTTAATGAATGGTGTCTTGTGCAGCATATTTTATAATAAGAAATAACAAATGATTAAATACATAATGCGTGCTATGTGCATAATCCAGTGTTGGTCTTTTACCTCAGATTAAATGTTTGGAGCAAACATTAAGTCCTTTTTTTTTTTTTTCCGGTCAAATTCAGCTCGTCCTATCGCTCGGACCCAGCTGCTTGTCTGCATCTTAGGCTAGGGAAAGTGAAAAAAATACTTGTTCCATGTGGGGATGATGGCTGTATCCTGAGTCACTAATGCGAGTACTGTAGCACAATGTTTTGTGGTCCTCCCGGTGGASTTTCATGCTGTTTTCCTGAATTTATTTAAGTTTAAACGGAGCTAAACTGGCGCTGCTACGAGACTTTGTACAAGCATCCATATATATGTATTCTCTTATGCATGGACATCACAGGAGCGCCATTGGGGTTGGGCAGACAACGTTTTGTCTGATTAGAGCCGGTGAGGTGCAGACTACACTGGGCTCCGCCTCTATACCAATCAGCGATAGCCTTAGAGGGCGGAGCTTACACRAAATAGAACGTTGGTTACATATTGTAACCCCAGATTAGTGTAAGCGCAGCCCTCTAAGCTCGAGGCCTCACCGTCTCCCATAGCTGAAGAGAAAAGCTATAAGGAGCAGATCCCACTGGTATTTATGGGGACAATGGGTGGGGCCCACGGTAGGTGGGCGTTGACTATTGGTTCTTCAGAATGCGCAGGGATGCGGGTATACCCATTAGCGATAGCTTAGAGGATTGTGTGAACCTGGGGTTACAATATGTATCCAACGTTCTCTATCCCCTCCTCAGCGTCCCTCATCTATGGAGGACCAAAC